TGCCGACTTATTGACGTATGGTTATTAACGACAGTGCCAGCAAAATCAATATTTACGTCACAAGAACCGCTAGAGGCTATATCAAATAAAAATCTGTAATGTAACTGTAAGAGTCGGATGTACGACAAAAATAAAACGTACACAACATGGTACTGCTTGTTGTCCTCCAAAATCCAAATATACCTAATATATACTGTAGGATTTTTAAAATTACTATATTTCAAAAGAATGCAGAAATGGTTTTATAATATGCGCGGGAGTTTAATCGCTTCCCGTATTGTCTTGATGATGTATCGGCATGCAGCTATTTACAACATCCTTATGCATGAACTCGGATCTGGGTTAATCCATAATCATATTTACACTGCATGTTAGTGGCTCTCAGACTCCTCCGCACACCGTACTTGTGGCCATGCATGCTTGCACGAGTCATGTAGTATTTCTGGAATTTCTTAGAATTTCAGAGAATTTTATCATATAGCCACTATATGCATAATCAGTGTGACAATAGCAAACACAGATTCCAAACATGTACACAGGATTTTGCATTGACATGAAGAATTAATAGATCAAGTCAATCAATCTAGCATTTTATTTTCCTCATTTTATTTTCCTCTTTGACCTGACGTGTTGACTATACATGGAATTTGGAAAGGACGCGTTCGATTGCTTCGAGCAAAGATTATTTATCCTTGCGATATGCCGCTGATATACAGCAGATCAATATTTATACATAACTATACATTTAATTGGGCAGTTCAGTACAGTGGTTCAGTATCGGGGTCAACTGCAAAGTACATCGGATACCCATTTGCCAATCCTGGCACTGAAGTTAAAAGTTAACTATATGGCATTAATAATTTTCTTCAGCCCCCTGGAGGGCACTATTTTTTATAGGCGTAGATTTTCGCCAGGTACATGTGTATGTCAGTATAAAATATAACAATAGAAAGGGTTAAATTATGATACATGAACAAACTATTTGAATTCAAAAGTGTATTTAGTCGCTCTAGTTGGCATTCTAATCCTTTTCTGTGTGTCATGTCTTGAGCGGTGCGGTTTCGTCATTGATTACGTCAATATATTTTAACCGGATATCAAAATGTACACATAAACTAGATCGGACGTGATGGGATGCTTTTCCCTTTTCTCTACACAAACAAAGAAAGCTGAAAATGGTTCGATGAACCTGTTTAAACATACGTATATGTAAACATCTTTTATTCGCGATTATCTGCATGGGGTTCATCGCAAGTGCGGTCAGCTCCAACGACTAAACTTATACAAGCGGCCTCGCGAACACTGAATCGATAATTCTCATATTGGACATGCATGTTTGTCTTCCTGAAAAGTATATTTACATGGTTCTGAAATGTTAGAAATAAGTACATATCTATATTTATATGAGCTTTGCAAAGTTCGCAAATCGAATACTTCTTAATACGGGTTTGTGAGTGTATATGAGTCATACCGAATTATGATCGACCTATGGCTTATTCCCCAAAAGCGCGTCAAGCATGCAAAACCTTATGAATGCACGTGCATTTAAGACTTTCCGCCATAAATATAATGCATGAGTACTCACCTGCATGTTAAGAAACTTCAATAGAGAAAATTTGTCGTTATGACTTCTGGTAAAATTGATCCTTATAGGATGGGCTTGGTTTCCACTGGCGCCAGAAGATGCAGGCATGATGGCTATTGTTGCTAATTGCTAAAGAATGAATTAAATGCCCTTGTTATTTTAAATAAATATATTTGTCAGCATGCAGCTACATTCAAACGAAACATTGGCTATAATACTTGCTGTCTGTCTGCACTATATAGATAAGGGGTATAGCAGAAAATTGTCTTTTTCGTCAGTGAAGCCATTTTTAACCAGTAGGCTACTTCACGCATACTAAACAGCTAAAACTTTTAGAAATATTCTGTCTCAGTAATTTTTAATAAATAGTAACCTGTACTTGCCCCAATGTGCATGGCATATAGCCAAGACGTATGTCTGTATAACACACAAGCGGCCTAGCAAAAGGTCAGGCTAGGTTCAACGGTGTATATATATATATATATATATATATTTATAAAGGTTATGAGCCCGAAATTTACCGATTGAACCCTATCCAAGAATATTGTATTGTTTAAATGATCATTCTAAATCATAATAAGCAACGGCTATTTCTCATCCCATCACGATTCCAACTTGAAAGTCGATGTAAGTTTTAAAGTGGCGGTTTGAAACTTCCATACCGCGGAATGCAGTCAAAGTGAATGTCAAAATTATGTCACAGACTGCATGTATGTTACTTTGCATGGTTTCTGGCACACAACGGCCACTTGATATGTTCGATAATATCAAATTAAGTCAACGATAGCATATATATTGATCAGGAACACATCATGACATATAACTATTCTACAAAGTCGTTAAAACTTTAAATATTATTTTTTGTTTTTATGTCCGGTTACTTTATCTTAAGATAAGATAAGAAACATGAGAAGTTAACCTGTGGTTTACCAAACCGGAATTTCTTTATAGGGTTCGACGACGATGCATGATGAAGCATATTTCTATACAGTTCTAATTTCAAATGCACTAGCCTTGCGCAATTCAACACAAAGGTCAAAGAATACCATATGAAATGTAGTATTTCAGTCACCAGTTATTGTATATAGGGATATTGCATGATTGTATGGTTATATTGCGATAGTATAACCAATCCGAGTTAAACAACAATTTGAGCCCAGAATTACACTACACTTAAGCCCCGTTTACACTACACTCAATTTATTGGCACGGCTCGGCCAAAATGGGTATACGTACCCAATTCTATTAATGTTCAGGCTATCAATACAAATGCCAGGCACGAATAAAAAGAGCACGGGTACCCATTTTAGCCGTTCCGATAAATCGAGTAGTGTAAACGGGGCTTTATTGGCACAATATCAGAACGGCCAAAATGGTTACCCATGCCAACTTCGATTAACCCGTACCCAGCCTTTGTATTGGTTGCCTGGGCGGGTATACCATGCAATTGGAGGCTTGGAGCCGTGTCATGCTAGCAAATTGAGTCAGGTGTAGTGTAAATACAACCGATTCCAGAACCAAAGAATCTAGATCTAAATCCTTTTTAAAGAATTCATATTTGATAAATATGCAAGAATGCAGTATAAACGAATGTCAACGTTAAGTCACTTCGGTCCTGAAATAATCCGGATAATTCACTAAACTGCGTCCCTAAATGCATGACGTCCCAAACTCGAAACCGCAAAAAGATTATACTACAATGTACTTAATTAATATTTTCCCATTGATAAATTCCTTTCTTAGTCACATGCAGTGTAGAAAAAACTTCAGTCTCTAAAATGCAGCGGTTTGAACTTTTTCTTTGAAGTTCGAGAATCAATTAGCAGACTCATTTGAAATTTGTATATGTCTGTTTATGCCAGGAATGCAGTGAGATTATTGAGATATGCACTATATATGCATGTTTTTATAAGGTATAGGCAGAGCCTAAAGAGGGTTGGGTTAACCGCATGCATGCATTCCATATAAAGAATATTTTTTATTATAATGTAGCTTCTAGTGAAATGTGGTTTAGTAACTGCCTATAGTATAGAAAAAAGCTTAATGACCTACCACATAATATTACTGCTGGTTAGAATTTTTTTTTCATTACTCTGGGATTTTTTTAAAGAATGTGGGAAAAGTTCATCCTATCACGTAGCGATCCAGTTTGCAAAGTCATGCGGTAATGTTTATAAACTTACTGGAAAAGCGGAAAATGAACTGTTAATTAAATCAACACATGTATTTAGTGTTTGTCGGGTTATTTTAGCACAGCATATCCAGTCCAGTCAAGTAGTCTATACTGGAGGCTTATCATGGACCAAGGCCACGGTGTGCTGGGATTAGGGATGAACGGGTTAATGTGGTAACGTGGAGTCGCCGAGTCGATCTTAAAAACACGGCACGTCGGATCGGCAAGAAACCGGCCGCTGACGGTTCAGCGTACAGACTGTGTGATTCTAATTAAGCATGCATGTTTAACAGCAGGTAACTGGTTACTTTTATATTTCTGGGAAAGATAAAGTATTTTCATATTGTGACACTAAGCGTTGATAAATTAAAAAGAATTTCACATTTTGACCCAAGACGTATTCGACAGTAATAATGTCTTATATAACGGCTTATAATTCCTACCACAGCATGCCATGCCCATCGTGATTTCTTACGAATAAAAAGACAGCGTTGGATAAAAGACATAAAATTTTGGGCAAAAATTAGTTATCTTTCCAAACCGCGGCATGAGCAAAAATATTGTATAAACATGCAATTGTTTTCGTTATCTGCATAAGCAAGGGTATTATAACATTCAAATAACGTGTATTGTGTTGTTGAAATATTGAACGTCCATGTATGCATGTATATGAGTAAACTTTAAATTTTTCACCATATTGCAATCAAACAAGATCTATTCATATTTCATAGCTACAAAGTATTTAACATTGTGAAACATCCGCAAGTCTCCACTCTATATATATTCAATGCGTTTCAAATGCCTATATCATGTGCGTTGGTAAACTTATATAGGCTGGCATCCTCGCTCCTTTCCTGCACGTTTCATGCAGTACAAACTTGTAACAAGCAAGCTAGGAAGCGATTTTTTGTTAGAACACTTGTCCACTTCCTCTGAACGATTCCCATGAAATAGTTTGCATACAAATTTTTTACAGTGTAAATAGTACGGGGAATTTTTGAAATAAAATACCCTGAAACGCAATGTAAAAACGTCCAAACAGTGTAAAATATAACAGCTAGGGCGATGTGGTAAATTGTTTCTAAGACAGAATTTTATGACAATTATGAAAAAGGTGAATATTGATAATGTGTTCCCAAAAATGTGATTTATATGCGTTGGCGTTGTGCATGATCGGCAATAAAATTCGCGTCAATAAAGTCGGCACATTCGTAACTCATTCAGTGCACTGTTGATTTTACAGACGTTCAGATCACTTTGATTCGTCAGCAACAACCACTTTTCGCCGCAACATTTGATATGGCTTGTGGTAAGTGAAAGAACTTGTAGTTTTGCGTAAAGAGTTATTTATATACTTTTGTTAGAATGTTATGTTACTTTGTACTTATGACGATATATATGCATAACACATAGTGTAGTGATATTTTATCAATCATGCAGCCATATAATAAACGAATATATGCCAAAAATATAATTGGTATATATTTGCTTGTGTTTATCAGTATAATTACAATCATGATCAATTGAAATTGTTGACTAGTAACTATTATAATTTATACATACATCGTCAGAACACACAACATCCTCATGATCATGCACACCCAGTTGGCAAGCATTTTATCAGTATCGCCACATGGTGATACCCTTTCTACAAAATCGGCATGATATTTGTTCATCATTAATGTACACTAGTATATTAGTGTAATTACTTTGTATCATGACTAGTGTTGCGTATACTGTGCCTAGTTCTCGTATTAAAACGTAAGACAAATGCAGATTCATTCTTGTTGCTGATATTGTTGGCGGTGCATGCCCTCGACTGCACCCATCACCATTTATTTTGTTGTACCGAGGCGTCTTAGTTATAAAAACGTTATGCTGGTATTACATTTATAGAATTTCAGTCTACAAAATTAATTTCAGTTAGCAATTAACACTGTTCGAGGTTCCTCTTTTTTGCGTATAAAGGCAGTAATTTTTTATGTTGTGACATTGCGACGTGCATGCACTCTTGATTAGGATGCTGATCAGTTTCATTGGATCAGCAGCTGCGGTTACATTGTGAGTGTGCTTCGCTGTATTTTAATACTAACACAGAAATACACCTCGCTATATTGTTACCCCAACAATATCATCCAAATTTAAACAACTTTTGGGCTGCATTTTGCATGTTGTTCAGTGACAATCCATCACGAGACCTATTGAGTTCCTATAGTATGCAGTCTATGGAACGCCACATTACAAGGGCATCCTTGTAATGCCCTTTTAATAACCTCGTATTGTGATGTATAAGAATCATAAAAGTATTCAAAGAAATAACCTGCTATAAATATACACAAAAAATCATTGCTCTATATGCGTCAGTGCTATAGAGCCTTTTAAATTGCACTGAACAGGATAAGTTATAATCAACACATAATGCCGAGCTAATGACATAGTACGTGAGTTTTAAGAGTGACTCTGAATCCACTTCATGTCATTAACCATACTTTTATAGCCTTACTTGTTATGAAAGAAAAATGTATCCTAATTTTTAAACAACTTTGAAGTATATATTTACCTGACATTCAATGACCAGCTAGCTAAAGACTCTTTATATAGGTTCGCTGAAGCTATTATCAAATTAGAAAGAAATGCTGCAGATTTGATAAAAAAACGCATATAAAAGAGACATATATATCACAAGTTCTCCTCACGCTTGGTATACTTTGCAATCTTTTTTGTCCTGGATCTAATCATGTGGAAAACATCCCAATGTTATTAATCCTTGCATGCATGATGACCCTGTTCTTTACGCAATGACTGATCACACTTCATTGCTAACTATGAAAGTCTCCCGGTGTATCGTCTCCGCTAGTGCTCACATTCATATATATTTATATATCAACAATAATATAATTATCTAAATTCTAGGCAGCATAATTTAATACAATTATCTCAATTTGGGGGCAACAGCACTGATATTAGTCACACATGCAGCTAATCTCAATTAGTGAGTAATTAATACAAATTTGCATTAAAATGTTTAAAAACAATCGGCAAACACGAAAACAAGGTTACATGCACCATATAAAATCTGTCAGTGTTGTTTGTAAAATGTAACTCAAACAAGAGTACAGCTAGATAGACTTTTATACACTTAAAACTTTTATACACGTAACGGTTCTCTCATGGGTGGATCAAGCACTAGTGCACTGATTTGCATTACAAAACAAAGTGGTTATTTTTAGCAGTTTTCTTGTGTCATGCAAATTAGTGCACTAGTGCTGGATTCACCCCTGGGTTCTCTAGCTCTAAAATGGTAAGGTAAACTTCATCTGACACGAAACAAACTGCCCTTCTCTCTTGGCTTGCTATTATAGTATATATATAGCTGTCTGTTACAAGAACTCCACCTAAAACTGAAACGTTGCCCACATGCTTTATGACAAAACAGGATATTTTTCTTGTGTCTGACATTTTTAGCACATACATGTCATTTTAGATATGTCATGTTCTCTAATAATACGACTGACTGTGGTGCACTGTTAAAGTCTGTAGTATTATCACTAGTTAGATTTTAGAAATACAATTAATTCCTGGGCTTGGCTTCTGAATTTATTAATTAAAAAGCGCTAATAGAAACGTACGTCCCAACGTTTGCGCCGTTTTGTATCTGCAAAGAACAATGTGTTCAGCTTTTCATGGCAATTTTCTAGTTTCTCCTAAAAGCACTAGTTCGCGATCTAACACAAGAAAGTCACTTTACTTGTGGGAATTTCTTTTTGGTTTGTTGGAAGATGAAGAATGTTCATCAGTTATTACTTGGGTCAAGAAACGTGAGGGTATATTTGCTTTACGAAACACAGAAGAACTGGCCAAATTATGGGGTACTGTCAAGAACAGACCAAAGATGGACAAGTACAAAATGTTTAGAGCCATGAGGACATATTACAACAGAGGGATGCTAAAAAAGGTAACGTGTTATTCTTTCATTCACAATAATGTAAACTAGATATAGGTGTGTGATCTCGAAAGGTTTACGGTCAGTCTCGTTAATTCTAGAGGTTCAAAAGGGTTTTATAATTTCGAGTTCATTACACACACTTCATATTGAATCCAGGAACAGTTAATGGAAAAATGAGTCAACTATTGGTCCTCCGGCAGGAATCGAGCCTACGCTTTTGCGATGCCGGTACAATGCTTTTCACTCGAGTGCCAATTAATAATTTACCTTCAGTCTCGTTAGTTGAATGTTTGATGTTTCTAACCCAGAAGCGTGGACCCCTGTCCTATAGGAGGGCCCGTCCCCATTCTAGACCATTTCTAGATTTATTTCTAGATTAGACCAGAATTCTAGATTTAGACCATTTTCCATATTCATCCCAAAAAGAAGTGAAACCTTTTTATTTAACTTCTTGCCATCAGTATAATGCAAAGAATGTAGTTGATCTTGCCCAACAAAATTCTCCATCCATCATCCCCCCCCCCCCCCCTAGGATTTTGCTGCTCCTCCCTCTTTCCGTAAAGATCTTGCCCAACGAAATTGTCCATCAATGCCACAGCACCGTGCGCAGAATATTCTGCCGAACTGTGTGTCTCGAGTCACATTCATATGGCCCCCTTAGGATTTTGCTGCCCCCCTCCCCCTTTTCGTAAAATCCTGGCTACGCCTTTGTCCCGAGCTCATGCTTAAAGCATTTTGCCGCCACGGTGTGATAAAAAAGTATTTTTAGAATGAATCACTATAATTTCCAGGTGAAAGGACATAAAGGTGTTTATCAATTTCTGTCCATACCATACGAGACAGAAGGATGTGATCAACAAGTAGATAGCTTTGGTCAAATAAATGCTAGTCGTGGGTTACCAGATACCACTGATAATAAAAAAGAAGTCGTTTGTGGAACAACCTCAGAGTATCTAAAAAGTACAGAAAACAATCTTGAAAGAATCACAGACAATTGTGAACAAATGGAGCACAGTCTTAGTGAATCAAATGGATACCGCGAAAGAACTCAAAGTTCTGCTTCAGAATATTCTTTCTCCAGTGATTGCAGTGCCAAAAGTTTGGAAGATCAACAAATAGACTTAAACGATCTATTCGATAAGAGTGATTCATACTCGTCGTGTTTGAGTCATCCTTAATCTTAATTTAGATCTTTATATAGTTAAGCTAAGTTTTCGATTGTTCTAATCAGTATTGGATAGTTGGAATAAATTTGTTCTCCTACGCTATCAAATTCAAAAATTCCAACATGTATATTCAACTTATGTAAAAAAGAGTTAATTTTTTAATCACTAAAAATTGCATAATAAAGAGTATTATTAAATCTCAGGAAAAACAATTATACATACATTTGCACGGGTGAAAAGTCAGTTGACTTACCTATATGGCTAATTGGTAAGTCAGCTATTAAAGCATAAAATTACCATACTACGGGAAATATGCACCTTTGCAAAAGCCGTTTTATATCTGACTGGGGAATTTATCTACACCTAAATAGAATATTCATTAAGTCAAATTATAGTTTATAAGTTATTTTTCAAGAATCCAAGGCACAAAATATTTTTTGCATCACTTATACAAAACACCTTACACAAACGTTTTTGTATCTTTTAGAAGAATCATTTATCTTTCATGACTTATTATTTGTTATGAAAAAGGTAATAAAAGCCAGTTGAAACCTTGTAGTATAAACATGATCATAAAAAAGAAGTTTTGGCTGAGCGCTATAAACAAATGTAGGTCATGCATTATATATATTTATTATATAAAGTCCCGTTTACACGGTCACAGTTAATCTGGTCTTTGATTTTTCGAATCGGTGTAAATGAAGCGGGATTACTTTGCACTACCTGTACGAGTGGATTAAATTAGGCGGATTATTTTAAAATTTCTAAAGTGGTCACGTAACGCAGCTATGGTGGCAGTTAAACTCGAGTTCAATTTAAACCGGTTAAAGTTCGTACCGCGTAAACGGGGCTTAATACGCAGTGTTTTATTGACCAATCCCCCATTTCGAAAAGCGATAATAACACATGTGCGATTATTCATGATAATAACACATGTGCGATTATCGTGTTTGATCCACCGATTTGGAATCAGGAAGGGGGATGAAAAAATTTTCAAAAAAACCCATTTTTTTATTATAAAATAAACAGAATAATAGAGGAACGCGCGGAAATATGGAATTTATTTCGAGTGTTGAGAATGATATCAAACGAGTCAGCGCAGCGAACGAGCGAGATATCTTTCTCAACACGAGAAAGACCAAATGCTTTAAGCATGAGTTCGGAACATTATTCTCTATATCGTGCAAAAACACTTAAATTCAAAATTAAGGATGTGACAGGACAGGTTAAAACACGCAAACATTAGCTTTGTTTTCAGGGTGATTCACAGGTAAGGAAAAACGATTTCGACCGTTTGATCTAAGTTGCATGGGGCTGAAATACGCCTGGCCTTCCTAGTCATAAATCACCTCCCACACATGATATTGATGCTGCTAACTTGTGTAATAAAGAGATGAATATGCTAGACCCTAGCTTTAGATTAATTGAGATGCTAGGGTCAGGGGTCTGCATAACTCGTGATTTAGCTACAATAATTATGCTGTTACCATGCATGTTACTGTCCATATCATTTATGTCCAGCATTGTAGCTTTTCATTTATAGTCATTTCATCGCATGTTTATCTTAAAATTAAAAACTATCAACCTTTTACAGAGACATGTCTCTCTGCAGCCTCTCCAAAGTTCAGGACTGACTAATTCTCTGTGGTTGGTGGCTGGCCTTAAGATGAATATAACTGAGTTCTTTATGTCCACTTAAAAACCACATAGCAAAATTCTTAGTAAAAAAGGTAGTCTTCATCATTAGGACTAGTGACAAATTTACGTCAATTTGAAGACTTGATAAATGCTATAATGTAAGGAATCTTTGTCATGAAATGTCTTTCACTCAAATTCTCACTCAAAGAGATATCATGTTTGACTTAAACTTCCCGCTAACTCATTGTTTTGTTTCTTTGACGCAAACAATTAATTTTCGGTTTATTCATGATGGCTTATATGTTATAAACTTTGAGTTCCTGTTTTGTATCATATACACACGTTTAGCTCTAGGCAAAAGCGGTAAAACTACATGCTGCTGAACTAATTGGTGAACAAACAACGCATGCATCAGTATATACATGCAAGCATGGTTTTTAACACTGAAACACGATAAAGGAATTTGGTTTCATTTCTCTTATTCATTTTTCACCTCATAATAATTAATAGCTTTAGTTCAATTTGTACACATTTGTAAACTATCGTATTTTATATGAATATTTTTATATTGCAATACAGACAATAATAAACCATGCAGAATGCAGGATCTGCTTCATAAATAGTTCATTTGTGCAACATATTATTGTATAAATTGGCCACTGATCTTAAAAACGACTGAACATTGTTTTTCAATATTTCACTTATATCGAGCTTCTTAATTAATGTCTGCATGATTGAATTCACATCATCGATCCAGTCCAGTATAGTTTTAAGATCAGTGCATTAAAGTGCTGTTTTAAGTTCACTCTTGCATTTTCACCGATTCACTCTTCGCCGGTTAATCTGCTCCTGCTATGTATTACGTAACTGCCGATTTAGGTGTCCTTTGATGGAAATAAAATTCACACACACCCCGCAATATAGTGGGACCTCGCGCTAGGACGTGTTAAGGACTGACTGCTTCGTCATCAGGTGTCGTTTCTTCGTAGGAAGGGCTCTCACAGTTCTCGTCAAAGTAAAACTTCTGCTTCGCGTTACATGTGTCCCAGCCTATAGGATCGTATGGCAACTGTAGGAACTTGTAGACGCCCACTCTGCCTTTCACCTATAACATAAAAAGGAAGTTGTTTTAATATACTCCTCTCGTATAAAATTTTACACTTTACAGCAATATTTAATAGCAGAGTCGAGATGAAATGCAACTGTTCGTTTTTAAGAAAAGCACCCCGGTTAGCCGACACAGATCCAACCCGAAGTTTCGATTTTGGACTGTCAACTTGAGCTACTAGCCGATCGACTTCGGCGATCATCTAGTTTAAAAAGCCGGTGTTCCTTAAAATCTATAGACCTTTACAAAGAACAACGAGAGAGTCCTGGAAACGTTTCTAAAAGCTAAAAGAAAATGGCATTTCCAGCTCCTATATTTCTTTAAAATTATATAGGAACAAATCTTTTAAAAGCATTTAGTTTTGAGACGACCCTGAATTGAAGCACGGTGATTGAAGTTGTGTCTGTTTACTGTTTCACCTCAACGAGTTGACTGTTCACTGAACTTATCCAAGCTCTGGAATAAAGAGTTCTTTCGGTATTTTGTTAACAAAGACGTTTCCGCTTTGAATAAACAATGAAGAGTCAGTAACTTGAAATATTCTGCATGAAGGGGCAAAGTTATTTTGTATTTTTATATACAACTCAATCTATAACCTACTTTTTTATGCTGAACTTATATAGAAATAAATAATGCACACCTGGAATGTTATTTTGTGGATGTCTACTAGAATTATATCACCTCATAACTCATTGTTATATGCATAGAATTATTAATTTCAAGTCAGTACAATTCAAACAACGATGTCTCTGAATGTTTTACTTGCATAATACCGACATAGACACCCACAGAATTTTGTAAATACACTAAAATTAGTTGACCTTGACTCACAAGTAGCGTATAGGGTTACATTTGAAATGTTAAATTGACGAACTAGTTTTATTACGTAGGTAACAGTAGGCCGGTTCTGGCTGTAATTCCGTCCGGTAACAGAAGTGTCAGCAAGACGTTTACCAGGCCAGACTAAGAATTCAAAATACAAGGTGCCATATGCATAGATATGATTTTCGTAGTTAGATAATTATGAAGGAAATAAACATAAGGAAAGGCCATCACTTTAGCTGGCTTACGGTAAAGCTCGAAAGACGTAGCGGCAAGATTCTGAGAGCACTGTGAATGACCCTAATTATCTACGATATAAACTGACTATATATATCGGAGCCAATTATCTCAATGCAACAACGTATGTAACATGTCTTAGTCTACAAGAATTAAGATGACATTGCTAAATAATTTGCCTGCAGTAGAATATCAATCTACTTGTATTTATATACATATATGACTTCAGAAACAAAGAGAATTTGTCTTTGTACTTTATGTAAATTATTATCCTGTTATTAGTTTCAATCGTGATACCGTGCACGCATTTCAATCATCCAGATTTTCTTCTTAAAGCATTTCAGAGACGAAATTCTTATATTACGGCATTCTGTTGGCCATATGCAAGTTGATTTGACATATTTATGGTTCTCTATCATCGGCTAAATATCTCATCGGCTATAAATATCGTGATTATCCGTTGTCTGGTAACAAGACTGAAAGTAATTAATAACGGCACACTGGAATTCAACATATAGCACTGATGCCTGATGGATGATAAATTGTCGTATACATCTTCCAGCTATTTTTACTATACTCAAAGTGAAACCATTTGTTATACATTTGATATTTATATTATACATGACATGCCTTTTTTCTGTTAACAACAAAGACTCTCTTTTAGCCACTCGAAACATAATAAATGAAAAAGTTGGCTTGAATATGCGTTTTTAGCAATCTGAAAGATTTTTTTGTAACGTGTCACAGCTACCATCGGAAAGTCGCCATATTTTCTGCTGAGTCATGATCAGTGCGGCAATTTAGTGATGATACCACGTCCTATAGGTCTCAGTTTAAATTTCATGCATATATATAAAATTTTATGTTTAATCACTTTTCATCAAAGAATTCATTCTAAATTGGAGGAGTACACAAAGAAAAGAGAGCACATGCTATACCAAGACAATGACGATTTTTTCAAGGTTGCAAATAATCAAGTAGTTTCCAGCACAGCCCGCGCGTCACGGGTGACTGTCACGGTCATGAATACTAAGTACCCAAGACAATCGCACTCATACCTTCATAATAAGATCTCGTTTATAATACTGCCTTATGGCTCTTCTCAACTTCGTTTTATTCATATTCGGTCGATTTTTCAACATCCCCCAAAGACTTGCAACTTCGTCTGGGTCTACCACAACAAATTCTTTTTCAAATTTGTTAGTCCAGTTTATAAATGGGGCACATTCTTCGTCCTCCAGTAGACCAACAAGGAACTCCCACAGGTAAGCTTGGATTCGTCGCTTAATCCTTTTCTGTTCCATGATGTCTTTGGGTTTTTTTTGAAGTTGGCGTTTGCTCAACGCGATAAGACTGTATACCAATATCACCTGCTATTGATAAAAAGAGTTTATGAGTCCGTGTGACCTGGAACATGTTGTTTAAAGTAAATGAATTGTGATTTGTGAGTGAATTCCCTCCCTCCGCAATGTAACGAACGTAATTGGTTCTTGAGAAAATACTGTATCACAGATTCATAGGGTAACTTTTACGTTCGTGAAAATTCAATCTTGATTATTGCTGTGCACTATAATAAAAGGAAATCTAGGAGATTCCCGGTAAGGAATCGTCTAAGCTAGACTGAACACTGTAAACAGTCATAGGCTATATAATGCAAACTCAGTCACTGCCATCGGTGCACTGCATGTCTACGTTTTGCTGTTATAAACAACATTTGCACATGAAATTCCCCCGAATTATCAGAGAAGGCTGCCGACAACTCTACTCTTGTCAATTATTAAAACAGACAGTTCATATACTCATGATATTTAGCACTCCTCTGAATGCTTGCGATTATATATTAATTATGCGCATAAAATTTATATATGTCTAGTCTTACACCCATTTCAATTATAAAGTCAGAATGAAAAAATTCTAAACGCAAGAAGCCGCATTTGGTTTTTAAATCTCTTGATGATTCTGGTTGAGTACCACTGTCGGTTCGTAACTTATATTAAAACAAGTCGTATGATGTCTTAGTTAGACATATCTGTCAGGGCAATTATCAATACTGGTATATGCCCCAGTCAAGATTATCATATCTGCATGCTGGAAGAACAGTGTCACGAAATCCAAGAGTATAACGTTTTTCCAAGTGTATACATCTGGCAACTATATATAAATGTCGGCTGCATTTTCAATTCTATCAATTCTATGAATATATTAATTCGATAGACCTTATTTCAAGTGAGCCCCAAGATGGTATACTGTTTAGCTTGACACTTTAATAGTTTTTGCATTGTGAACAATTATATAATGATTTTAAATATTTTACAAGCCCCGGGCATATTACACCGTAGAAATGACTTAGATTGCAACATAAACACAAAGATCATATTCTGGTAAAAATTTAGCTAAACCTCTTCTGTAGTCTGAACACAATTATATATCTACATATATATATCTGATATCGATAATAATGTAGCAGAGTTCACGTATATTATGCATATAATACATGGGTATATTATACTTAAGTTGTTGTCATACTAACCTTCAAATATTCTAGATGTTACTCCTGCGACCCACTTGCTCAAATGACATGCCTTCTCGGCGACGCTTTACCTTTGTCGACTAGCTTAGCACCGAGGGGGTTAAGAAGTAGCGCGCGCTAGCGAAGCGATTGATTTGATGCAAATTAGCGTGTATAGCAGGCCGTCGTTACGTTTCACTGACGAAAACAGGAAAACTATCAAGATCATAATGGCATGCTAAAGTTCCGTGTTTGTTTCGAGGGTGTTTTAATTTAATTTGTCATCATTACGTCAATGCTAATGGTGGTGAAATCCATGCCGATCATGATATTTCGTCTTTCATTGGTATCGGCCCATTGCAAAATGTTCAGAACCTCTGTAAAAAGTGTGTTCTCGATGGTTGAAGGCAATTCGTATGTTTCATCTAGGCTTAGTTGAGCCTACGTTGGAATGCCAGAAGAGGAATTTATAAAGAATGTGGGTCAGTTTTTGATCAGTTTTTGATCAGATCAAAACAATGAAACGCATCCTATGTTATCCAGTCTTCTGTGGCGACACTGAAAATCGCCTTAATAATTCCTATAAATCAGATTGATCAGTAATTCAAATAGGCTTCTTTGGATCGAAGGTCGTTTGCATGAGTTGAACTCAAAAACGGTAATTTTGTCAGTTAAATAACTTAAATTTATTTAACAAAAATTTGTCCATAGTTTTTATCTTGTTTGCTTTTAAACGCAAGGATCAAGTTTAACCATACAAACAGAAATAATTGGGCTTTTTGTATAAAACAATTTGCCACGAACGATAAGTTCAGGTTAATAGATAACGCAGCAAATATACAAATTAAACAATTTTCTATAGAAATCTCCACTTCGTTTCCTTTTAAAATTTTTTTAACTCTAATGAAGTCTTTGCATGGAAGTTGGAGTATACGTACGTTTCAGGGTTGGGCATGCAAGTGGGGTATTGATGGGACACGTCTTAATAAAGGTTAAGAAGGATTAGGAGTGTTAGAAAATTAATTACATCTTTTGGCTGATCAAATTGGGTTGTTCAGATATGGAAGAATGACGAAATCGTGGAGTCCAATGTCAAGTTCAACCTTCCAGATTGAACTATAAATAAAGAAATATCTATGTTTGGTATCATTTAGCTGTATGATGATTAGCGGTGACTTAAAGTTCAAACCACAAAACGCGCTGCGTTTGAGCGCAAATCAGCCGGAGGAAGCTCCCAACCCGATTTCGACTCAATTTAAATGTAATCAAAATAAATCTCACAAAGTCAATGTTCACAAATTTATACTAGTGCTCAATGAATTACTTATGCTTGTCAAAACTCTTGCCATGTTTATCAGTTTACAGTCGATTTGATGTTTTGCGCGATCTGACCTGCCCCCGCATTTTGCAAACAAACAGTCACAGGTGGCTTATGCACTGCAGGATATTTAGTAGGTGTCTCTAATGAAGTTTAATCTCTACTCCCAAAACTACGCAGAACTACGACCTTCGTTTAACTGTCAAGGCTTACTCGCACCCTTCACTGCAGTCAGCTTGAAAATGTTTACAATGTCGACATTCATATGTTTGTTCCACTCAAATGACTGTCCATGCATCAAATGACATATATTTTTTTAATTAAGCAAAATTTCAAATTAGTGTAAAACAAGGTATGTGCTTCCATCTTTACAGTATCACAAAAATACTAAAGGCTGTTCAGCGCTAAGTGTGGATGAACACACAACAACAGTAAAAGCTATTCTAGAAAAAAAACACCAATATTTAGGAGGCAGTCAGGACCATGTATACATGGTGTGTTTTACCTCGTAAATATCTAACTGAGAAGTTATACCTGCATCTGGTAAATGCATCTTATCCGAAACCTATAATAAACAAAGCAACTGCATTGTCACAGTCGGTGAAACTAAGCAGACTTTTAAAATCTACATTAGAATGACAATATCACAATGATCTAGATAATTAAAAGTCAACATACTTAGCTACTGCATGTGCTTATAAACATCTTTGTGTTGTACTATCGTATGACGGAACCACACGCACTTATAAACGCCATGTAACTCAGTTCAATATACAATTGCTCAATGAATATTCCTATTTGTCGAGTGCAGTTATTCACTGTCCCATGGGCTATGCATCTACAAGAGTCAACCTCAAAAGAGCACCCTCTCCTCGCAAAATCCTGTAATATGAATTCCTCCTGCAAATTATTTGACAAAGCTTGCATCGTTTATGTTTAGCTTGCATAGTTTATCATTATGGGTTATGAAAGTACTGTCTGCAAAAATGATCATTCAACCTGTTCCTCCTCGTAACCACTCTCAAAGACGTACGATTGCTCGACTCCTCTTTAAAATTAAATTGTTCGACTCTTTACTGACTTTAGTAAAAAATTATAAGAATTGCTCTATTCAGTCGAGTAGAAAAATTGTCCGACCTATTACCAATTCGATCCCACCATATGTGGCAGGGCTGCAACCTGCCCTCTGCCTCTTACCCCTATATGCCAACCCTATATCTCTTTGTTTAATCATATCTAAAGGAAAAGCGTATAAAGATCGCCCATTGTGTTTACGAAGCGTCTAATAACACTTTATATGCAGATACTCAGAAGCACCACAGATCAAATTTTCGCACAGACCTATTTTTTTCGATTTTCTTTCACGTTCGTGTCGTGAAAGCTTTTGATTGAATACGTTATGTAAATTGTCGAGTTCATTTTAGTTGCGTCGGTAGTTTCTCTCTTACTGTAATCATTAAGAAATATATGAGGCCTTTTGTGGAGGCTCAAATGACTCTCTAATTACTTCTCCGGTCAACAGGGGATACGGTAGAATGAGGTCTTCACTTTCAATAGGATCTTGGGTATGTGAGAACTTAAGATGCGACCAATATCGATTTAATAACGATGTTTTTATCATTCTTATATAGACAAGCATATATTGCACATAATTAAATTTAGGTCAGACTGTAGTTGCATAATCACAATAGCAACTGTATGCATTTGCACTCTGATAAGAATTTCAATTCGAAATTGGCCCGGCTGACTAAGGTCAAGAACTAGAACAACGCGAACAGATAGAAATTAAACGACAAGGACTGATCAGTATTTAGCGTTCTACAAGTCACGTGTTTCCCGCGCGCGCCAAACTCAATTATGTACATGATTGGTCCAGAATGACATTAGCATCCCACTCATGCATGCTCAAAGAATCGGGTGCCCAGTGGCTGGAACTTAAGGTTGCATTGCGATTTGCGTTGATAGTGTATCGGTAGGTACATAAGTTAAGGTATAGAGAACAGACTTAGATACATTTTATATTTGAAGTAACTCTTCGCGAACGCCACCAGCATCAGTTACCAAAGTTGTATTTTCACTATTTTGCATCACTGACTGGTTTCAATCTGGTTTCTTCAGCTAGGTTTTGCAATGCACCAACTATTATAATTACATGACACAAGATTCCGGGTTTAAGACTGTAGAAAGTAGCTTGCGTGAAACTGGATTAATGCGGGAGCCGAATTGGTCCATCACTCCCGTTACCCTTCACTGCTAATTTAAAGCAAAAATAGCAAACAGGAGAAACAAAGATAAGCTGTAGAAATCGTAGGCCCTCCGCCTACGTAGCCTAGTGGGTAACGAGGCTAAACTGAAATGTAACGAGCTAACTGACATTATTCCAGTGATAATGATGAGTCTTTATCATTTCGTTAGCGATTTCAAAAGACTAATGTTCCGTATCTACACTAGCATGTCAATGGTGCATTGCAAAGTGCCATTTTAAATCGGTTGTTGCCCTGCAAAAGTCCTTTCTACCATGTCGCCGCAAAACTATTTGATTACGCTGTGATTTCAAAAGAACCTAATCTTCTGTGACTGTTCTATTACCTTTTTAGCATATAATTATCGTTGCCTCGCAAGTCAGGGTCTTTATCTCCGCTAATTATCGGTACCTGAACTTAAGCCAGTTCAATAGAATTATTTAAGTATTTCAGTAAGAATGCTCATGTCACATAATCGGAAGCAAAAAATTGATTCAATTAACCGTCTATGGTCTATCTAAGGCTACGAGGCAAATTGATGTGTTGCAACATCGCCAACAAGCCTGTTTTAGACCTTTCATTTCGGTCGCGACAATTGCAAAACTTAGACAATATATAATAACATAGCATTTGCAGGTTAATGAACCTTAGCATCTCATATATTTGCATTCGGCACGATCGGAATGCGACGTAAAAACCATTCCATCTCAGCCTTTTCGGGCAACGGAACTTCTATACGCGAGGCAGCTCTCCGGCACAAATATGATCGGGTGCGCGATCTTCAACGCAAACATTTCTTAAACATGCACAACTGCAAGTCTGCAACTGAGTATAAAACTAGCACCCTACAAAATATATTAGTCTGAAACTCAGTCAGTACAATTAAACTCCATGCATCTCACTGTTCCGTGGAAATGACACGACAACACTTTTCGTTCAGATTGACTGAGTATATTATATATAGCGCATGAAAAGTTTAATGTTTCTCTCTGTAATGAGCCGGAATTTCGATTTTCATTTGATTGGTAATCACAATTTTATTTAATGTAAAATTGTGCATTAAATTTTTGAATAACGTGTTGGGAAACGATGAAGTTTTGGTTATATAGCTATAGCTCTTTACAAGGTGGCTCTATATAGGTCGAAACGTCGAAAAGGTTTCGTCTTTTTAGGCAGTCGTTTTACTACATTCCACCGCAAAGATACTGTGTATATAAGGCCTGAGTCTTATAGGCAAGACTGAAACCGATGCTCCTTCGCTTGGTTTTATTTATTTCTTCCTGTAAAGTATTAACTTTCGTCCTCGTTTTGCGACAAAATCAAAGCCCAAATCTGAGGGAGAGAAGAACGATGGAAGTATTTATCTTAAGTTCGCCTATTAACAAAGAAAGTCTCGTAACAACACGACTGGTTAATATTAGATTTTGCATGACCTCAACTTTTTACTGCAAACATTACGCGGCTGCTTTTGAGGATTTCTGGCTATATACCTACTTCACCTTTAAATTTTTGAATTTATTTTTGAATTAAAAGGCATTAGGTATGTGCAATTAGATACCAAGCATTTAACCAAGAAAGAACATGACGATATTATCATATTGTGGCGGCATTTTCTCGCCTGTTTTATTAAATAATTAAAATAACTAAGTGAAAAGGAACACTTTTCATGCGCGGGGTATTGTAATGATGTCATAGTGACTGCGTATATACATGTAATTAAAGTATTTTATCCCGGATTTACGACAATACTTTACATACATGTCTGGGTGAAGCAGGAACATGACCATGTTGTTTTTGGACGCGAAAGAACGCAATCCCAACAACAGAGAGTGTTGTTTTGACTCATTTTATCCATCGGGCTCGGGCTAAAATGTGTCAGTCTTTAGTGGAGCCAGAAACAT